TTGAGTTGCCACCAATATTAATAATACAGCACCAAAAAAATATATATTTTTTGTCTAGCCAACCAGATTGGTCAAATCACATGGATTTTGTGTCGCTGAATCTATATCCGAAGTCAAGAATCAATTCTAACTTCACAAAAAAATTCAGCTTCTTAGTAAGTTATGTTCCAAGCGCACCTAATTTTTTTTTGTCAACCATAGGACGGTATAAAAGCTCCACAACGCCAAAAATTTTTTATAAGTGACTTTCGTTTTCATTTGATTTGTTTAACTATAAAGTCGTGCGAATGTCACATCCGACATCATGGAAACACGCATTTGTATTATGTACTTTATAAGATTTATCATATTCTAGATATGGAGATAATATGGCGTATTCGAAATAGCGGCTATTTCTAAAGTTGAGCGGATTTGTTGAAATTTTGGTACTCGGGGTTTTAAAGCTTGCTGATCGAAGTTAGTTTCTCAAATGGCATTAAAATTCCTGTGAATTTCCTTAAGTTTAGTTAGTTAGCAAGTTAGGAGTAGGGTTAGGGTTGCCAGCTGTCAATATATTTAAAAATATTTAATAAAACAGAAATGGATTTCTATTTTTCCAATCAAATTTATCCGTTATTTTATAATTTTTTATTTCGCTAAAAAATCGCGTTGATTTTTAATAATTTTTTTTTTTGGTTACGGCTTTTGCAGTTTTTTTTTTTTATATAACAAGTCCAATTTATAAAAACTCGCCTTAGTTTTTTAAATTTTGTTGCGAACGATCATACGCATTTTATTTCATAAGAAATTCGTGCTTGTATGGAAAAAAAGGCACAAAATCCGTTCGGAAAAAAAGTAATAAAAAAAAAATAAAATATTTAAAAATTTAACTTAAGAAAAATTGTGTATACATATTTAAAAAAAACAACACGTGGACGCTGTTTATTTAGATAGAATATAGAATACATAATATGCAACAAATATCAAAGGAAGGAAGCGAAAATTTATTTAAATCGATTTGCTGCCAACATAAAAATTTAGTTATTGATTTATATAAAAAATTTAAATATTACAATGTGGTTATCGAACGAAAGTAGTTTCATTGCTAAATACTCTTTTACATAGATTTTTTTTTTTAATTTCAGTTATTATTTATGTACGTATGTCATTGCGCTCAAGGTCATTAATTGTACAAAGATTGGCCCATTTTTAAGCTAAAGTTAGTTTTGCATATTTTTTTTATAAAGATATTTATTTATAGCATGTACATAATGTACTATATATCTATAGCTAGCAAGGAACAAGTTGTGTTTCGGCTTATTTAATCTACCTTGCAGCAGTTTGCTTTAGATAATAGAAAGTTCAAAAGCCTACAATAATTTGGAAATTTTTCATTGAGTTATTTATTTTTTATTAAATATTTAACTACATTTAGGCAATACTTTGAATGCATTTGGTGTTTGCAGGTACTTTCAGAGAATTTTAATTGGACCTAATTTTTCATTTATATACATAATTTCTTTTTTATTTTATTTTTTCTTTTAACATGCACATTATCATTAAAATTAAGTGAATACATATATAGTCTGTTTTTACGAATGGCAGGTATAGGAACGCATAAAAATAAGTATGTAAATAGTATTTTACAATATCATTTTCATGTTTGAAAATTTTTTGTTCGCAATTGCATTTGTTAGCAGTTTTTAGTTTTGCTGAAGACGCTTCCAATTTCAGCCCATGATATACATACATACTTTATGTTGTAAGTATTATATTGATATACAAGACTTTCTCGTGATATTATTTGGAATTTTTGAGGCTTTTCGAAAATTTTTGGGGTTCGGTTCAACGGGGCATTTATGTAAATCGCAACTTTCCTTTGTGTGAGTGCATAAGAAATATATCGCACACCTTCTTTTTTTTTTTGATTATAACAAAAATTTGCTCCAGCTTTTGCTGAAAGGTAAATAAAAGCTCTGCGCACATTTTTAGCGCATAATTTGGAAAGTGCAAAATTTTAAGTTTTGACTCTTTTGAAGACGGTGTGCGGTATGCCCATATGTATGTAAGCATGTACAAATTCAAAATTAATTTTATTAATATTTTTATACATACTAAGAAAAAGTTATCGGGAATTCTTTTATTTATATGATTTGAAAATCTCTAAAGTTTGTTGCATAACTTTGCATTTGAGAATTGCGTTGGAGTGATCGATAGTTGAGTATTTTTAAATAAGTATGTACAGTAGTACCACTTTATAAGCAAACAGTCTGGTGGGTAAGTACTAGAACGGAGTACTTGAGGCCAATGAACTTTGCGATAAAAAACATCGACGTATCATTCTTTAAGATCCGACTGTAATTGCCGATAATATGACGAAAAAACTAAACAGTCGGCAAAAAACTTGCTTAAAAAAAAATGATGATTTGCTATGAGTGCTTTCAAATTAAAACCAAAAAGTTCGTGGTATAAAATCAAACCATCAGACTGAGCTTGAAATTTAATTATTTTTTTTATTCTTAATTATGAAAAAGCTTTCGTGAAGTGTAAAGTGAAGCAAACGAAATAGAAAATGTTTGGGTTTAAAATTTAAACCGAACTGTGTGTGCTCTCTTTTTTTTTAAACTTGGAAGGTTTGTATTTGAAACTAAATTTAGTTTGGTCATATATGTAGTCCAAAAAGTTTCAAATTAAAACCGAAATTTTTAACCGAGTACCAAGCACCATTTCCAAACTATGTATTTGAAAAGAATCAGTTTTCAGGGGTTTTCGACGACGTTAATTACAAATCCATAGCCAGATTAAAGAAATTCAAGATGGTGAATACAAAATGGTGAACAAAAATGCATGTAGTCCTTTTTGGAAACATTGGTCAGCCATTTTTTCGGCCATTTTTTTTTCTACTAAATTCATATCGCAGGGTCCGTGAAGTTTCATTATACCAATTTTCAGCTTGATTCGGCTAACCGTTTGCGAGATATTGAATTTTTTCCGCTTTTCGTTGATATGGAACCACTGGTGCGGCGTAATGTATATGTATGTGTACTAAATGCTTGAAACTGCATGTGTAGAAGCCTAAGAATTTAATTTAGACTAAAAAAATGCATGTACGAGCATGCAATTACTTGCCTGTGTGATAAAACCCATTTCGGGCTGAATGTAACCAAAAACTGATAGTAAATCCAGCAAAGACCACTATAGTACCGTTATTAAGGAAATATATGTATATATGTAGGTTTGATACCCTTATTAAGATAAGACTAATATTATGAATCAAAAAGAGTTAAAATTTCTAGGAGTAATACTAGAAAAAAAAAAATTACTTTGGTAAAACGACGTGGAAGAAAGCTGTAAGAACGTTCATGACGTGTAGGTCCATAGCAGGAAAGGGCTGAAAGGTGATATTCGAGCCATGGACAATTGGGACAAAAAGCGCTTACCAAGGTACAAAGGCTGGCATGCTTATACATAACTGGAACTTTGGGAAGTTGTCCGAACCGCATCCTTGGAATTTTTTCATATACAGTTTCAGGTGAAAAGTGCTCTACTAAGGATGACTGGTACCAACATCGGGACAGAAGAATTTCTTAGTGGTAGAAATATTGATATTTTGACGAGACAGAGCCCTAAAATTTGCAATACCTAGATATGCCATGCATCCCAAGTTTAGCTTTACAAAGAGATTTAAAACTACCGGAACCAGAAACTTGCAATCTTGAGTAAGAGGCAAGCGGTTATTAAGGCACTCAGATCTCATAACATCTAAACTGGTGATGGCGTGCCTTGATAAACTTGATACTATTGGAGTTTGGGTTATTTGGATTCTGGGGCATACGAGATAGCCAATAAATTTGCAAGGAAATAAGCATCAACCCCCTTCCATCGGCCCAGAGCTCTTATGTGGCATAGGAAAGGAGACTCTCCCTGCCTTGTTCCGGGTGGAGAAAGAGAATTAAGAATTTTGACCGGAATTCTGAGAGGAAATTGCAGGCTGAACTTTCACCTGACCCACCTTAGTGTTCTCACGCAGGAACAATGCAGATTTTGCAGACCTTATATCGACACATCTTGGAAAGGTATACTGCACTGATGCACAAACTAAAAATACACCGATGGCGTAGTAAAATCCAAAGGTTTAGGTTCGTTGTGCTTTTTCCCCGACCGCCCTCAGCTTGCATAAGCTTATTTTAAATCCGGTTGCAAACTTTTTCTAATTTTTTTGAAGTGGACAGAGTACATAGAACTCCTCTCTGATAGTCATCGAGAGTCACGACCAACACATATACCGCGGAAAAAGTTTTTTTTTTTAAGACTTCTAGTTATACAATTCAAGGGCACGCGCTGAGGGAAAAGAGCCCAGTCTACAACAGATAAAAAATATAACTTATACAAAAGCTAATAATAAAGAGAAAAATAAGAAAGTATTAATGAATTGAGACATAACCAGTGTAATGAAAAACCCGTGTTATAGTTTAGTATCTTTATTATTTTTTATTTTTTTATTTTATTTTTTTATTTTATTGAATAACTTGTAAATAAAACAAATATTAAGTAATATGCACACAAATAATTAAAGTACTAATGTAATACGTATACTAAAGAATATAAATTATAAAAAAAAAAAACTGCTCATTCACCAATGACTTATAGCCACGCTTGTCGAACAGAAAAATGTAAAAAAAGTAAATAAATCATTTAGAATAATTTTTGTTAATTTTCTTGAATCTTACATAACTGCATTTTTAAAAGGTACATACTAAAAAATTCAATGATTTTTTTTTTTTTTTTTTTTTTTTTGGTTCAGCACAGTGACTGCAGATAACGTACGGTCGAATGAATTTTTCTAGGCTTAATAGTTTGTTCGAACTAACTTTATAGCAAAAGACTAGTTTTGTATATGTATAGTTTAAGATGGTATATATGTTTGTATGTATGCGCTCATAGTTGTTTACTGATTAATGCAAAAGTATAATTGATTTCTTTAAAGTCGCTGTTGACACGCTGTTGATTTTTTTTTTTTATTAATTTTACTTTTTCTAATACAAAATTCGGTATATGTTTCAAATAACAAATATACATACATATTACATATTTTATAATTATAAAAATAATTGCATTAACAATAACAATTACATACTGCGAATATACAATACAATATAATGTATGGATGTAATAATTTATGTATTTATGTTTGTAAGTCAAATAGCTATTTAATACGGGCACATCTATGCATTTACACATGTAAGTGTGTGTGTGTGTGTGCTTGTATGTACATGCGCGTGTAATCCTTTTTTGTTTCGTTTTTTTTTTTTAGTTGTAAATAAGTGCAGTTATTGCTAGATCAATTTTTAAATCGTTCCTAATCGACCGAATTGTTCTAATTAACTATTCTCATCATAAGAACATTTTCTGTTAGTTTTTGTTTTCTTTGTTGTTTTCTTTTTTTATTCATAGCTAAATATATTTTTTTCAGCATTTACAATATCAGCTCATTATTTATAATTATTTCTGCGCTACATAACTACTGTACGTTTCAGTTACTAATTGAAATTTTTTGTTATTGAAAATCTAGTCTGCTAATTAGTATTTAATTTAGTTTTTTTCGCAAAAATTAACAATTTTTATAACAAATACTATCTCGTTACATCATTACAATAATTTTACAAGTTTACTGATTTTATTATAAATTTTCTTGCTATATATGTGTGTATGTGTGTGTGATACATTCATGCATGTATATAGCGCATATAAAATGCATTTGTTAACCTATTTCTGTTTTGTATATTTGTATGTAGAATATGTATCTATGCATTTAATATAATTTCATTGACAAAACTTATGTATGTTTGTATGTATGTTTAAATGTTTAGTATGTTTGTATGTTAAGTATTTATATAGCGATTTTTTTTTTGTCAGTAGGTACAACATTCAGCGTATATTATCAGATTGTTAGTCACGGAGTTCCTTAATTTACATTTTTAATAATTTCGTATGTATTCAACTATTTACGACACTATGCTTTTATTGTTGTTGTACTTGTTGCCATTGCTATGCTTTTTAGCCTGGAACATGAATCGACTAAATGGCGATCATTGTCATCTATGACGGTGTGGGCATTGGCGTAAAGTAATGCAGGCCATTGATCTGGAAGAAAAGAAAAATAAGAAATGGGGTCATTAAAAAATTAATAGTAAAAAAGAATTTAAAACAACTTTCTTAATATGAACGAGATTCGACCATAAATACGGGTTTTTCAAAATATATCAACCCTGTGCCACCTAGCGGATTAATCCAGCTTTCATATTGTAATGTTATCGGGTTCTGAGCTAAGTTTGAAATCTGTGACTCATCCGGAAGTTGGTTAAATGTGGATTGTAACATTTGACCAAAAGAAAACATACAAAAATAGATATGTATGCACATTAGCGCGGAGTAGTTTTATTTTCGAAAAAAAGTGTATGGCATACTCAAATTCTTCATTCGATTCTAAGCAGAATGATGAACAAACTATAAACCAAAAAATGACGTTGGGCTCTCCCAATTTTTAAAAGAAAAATCAGTGCACTACTGCCTTTTCTTTCGAAAATCGGGAAGGTCAAACATAATTTTTGGTATACGGTTTGTTCACCATTTTTGCTCAGAATTGATCGTAAAATTTGAATTTGCTATAAAATTTCATCGAAAATTTTGATCCGAACAAATTACTTCGCCCTAATATACATATGTGCGTACTTAAAATTCTTACATTCTTAAAACTTAAAACTACGACTAAACCAATGTGAAATTGATTTTTTCATTTAATTTATGGTTTTTTTTTTGATACTTATTTTATAAAACTTTTTTAATTTTGGTAGTTTTTTATATTTTGTTTTATTTTCATTTGTTTATTTTTAATTAAAACATTTTATTTAGTAATTTTTTTACATTTATTTTACTTTGCTTAACTTAATTCAATTAAATATTTTTTAATTTTATTAAAAAAAATAATTTCAGTTTTTCTAGTAAATTTAATCTTATTTAACTGAGTCTAATTCAGTTTAATTCTAGTTTATTCTTAGTTATTTTAATACAGGATTTTCATTTAATTTAATTTAATTTTAATTTATTTTATTTTATTTAATTTTATTTTGTTTAATTCAACTTCATTAATTTAATCGATTTCTCATTTCATTCTGAACATTTTTGTACACATTTGCCATATCTAGCTGAGTTCCTCAGTAAGTTAGAGTACCCTTGTGTACAAGTGCGCTTTGTTATTAAAATACATAACATTCGAAAACTAGAACAATTCTTTAACCTGAACAAATCTGGTTTTCATTAGTTTGATTCATCGCGAGTGTACTGTGTGTAGTAACGAGGTGATGACTCATCACTAAGTACTTTAGTCGCAAACTTAACAGGTCGTAAACTAAATGCTTACTAGCCTCAAAATGAAACTTAAATCTAAATTTCGCTTTAGCACTGCATCTTCACTTACCGTCATATCGTATTCGGTGATATATGCGGGTATCTCTAATTGATCCTTGGAAATGGCCGAGTATAAATGCTCGACACCAGGAAGTGAGTGTACCTTGGCTTTGATGGCGGGCGCCATGAATGTCGTGAACCACCAGGTCATCATCTGTTCAACAAAAAAAGTTTCATACAAATATAAATATTTTGTGTGTTTTTCAGTTAAATTTTATCAGGAAACCCACCTTGGTCCAGAATGTTGGGTGTACAATATAGAAGGCCTTCAGATTTTTCTTGTACCTTAAATAATTAAGAGGGAATAAATATTAGGTTGGCAATTTAATGTTTCAGATAATAATAATTGGTTCCTTACTCTTATGTTCTGGTAAATATAAATTAAATAACCTAAGACGGGATTCAGAACGCAATTATAATTCAAAAGTATGCGTTTTTTTCCTTTCAACTTTAACGATGATGATATTTTGATACATATGTATATATGAAATCTGATTTTTGAGGTTAGTACGAAAAAACCAGTTCGTTTTTGGATTCTGATTTTACATTCAGATCAGCTGCATCAAAAGCTATGCGTACGTATCTTCTAACTGGTCTGAGTACCGTCTAAATTCATTTTGAAAAAAAAAAATAAAAATGTTTCAATTTGTACTCACTTGTATGGTAATATACTGTAGACTTCACGCAACCAGTGAAGCGATGGATAATTGTTTGTTGAAGTCAAAGTATGGAAGTACGCAATTACATAATCACCTTTAACGATGGGATCCAAAAGTTTAATCAAATATAAGAGTGCCTGGAAAAAGAAAAAAATTGTTGAGTGAAAAATTTCCAAATTTGAAAGTAGATTTGTGTATGTATCTGCAACAAAAAAAGCTCGACCAACCTTCTCCAGATCGATGTTGTGAGCTGGGAACCATTTGCCGCAAAATACGACGACTGGTCGTCCCAAGCGATCGACACCGCTCTGATATAGGCAACCAATGCCGGATACTTCTGTAAGATCTTCGATTTGAGCGCGATGCAAAAGGCGTTCATATCTGGAAAAAGGGAGAAAGAAATTAACTATTTTGTCATTGCTATAAGGATAATGTACCATATAATATTTGTTTTATTTTTACTTATTTATAACAGCCGTAATTAAAATTGTTATTCTCGGAGCTCATTCATCCAGAATTGTCAAATAAAAATCAACAAGATACGAGAGTTAAAAAAGAAAACAAAAACATGTACACATATGCAATTGTTCTTTATAATTCATAGCTGGAATTATTTGCAATTGTTGGACATTTGTAAACAAATTCATTTCTGTATGTACATATGTACATAGGGAGTTGTATTTGGAAATAAATTTCAATCAAAAGGTAAACCAGACTGTTGAATTGCGAGAAAACACTTTAGATTAAATTCTAAATACATATTTACATTCATATATCAGTGTTATGTTAGGTATATACCTACATACATTAGGGTGCCTCATCAAAAAAATTGCGTTTATTTCAAAGGAATTTATTAAATTTTAAATACGAAAATCTCATTACTGTGATTTCGTACACTAAATTCTTTAACAATTTTATGCAGCGCTTTTAAACTTAAATTCTTCTATCACTTAAAATAATTTTTTGCAAAAACTAATTTTAATGGGTACAGCCTAGCTAAATGTCGAAAATATTTTGGCGAAATTCTTAAAAAATAATACATTTTGTAATTCCGATGGAAAAACAGTATCGCCTTTTTTGTTTGTATGCAGTGATACATCCTAATATATGTACATATGTTTGAAAACAAGTTTTATATATATATATATATGCACATATACATATGTATGTATGTATATACAAAAATAACACTGAAGTGCTAGTTGCGATATTTGCAGCTACATACAACTGCACAGCATTACAACCATTTTAAAGCAGATACTAATCAAATTAGGAAGTAATTTGTGGGAATGTGGAAAATAATGAAAGAAAAATGAATTGAATGAAGTAAAGTTATGGCAAACAAAAAAAAATATTAATAACAAATAAAAGAAATTAAAATGGGGAAATATCTCGAAGTTTTATGTCAGTAGGACGATCGTTAACATTTGATTTGCACTTGCTATTACTCATAGTATGTTTGTATTAGAAATATTTAAAAGCACTTTTCATCGTTTTTCGAACGTTAGTGCAATTTTAGCTTTCTTTTTCAACTGAAGATAACATCATTGATCTTATAATACCGGTAAATGCATATTATGGTTTGCAAAGAAATTCAAATTTTCATGCCAAGCTGGTATTTAGGGGAATTTTACTTAATAACTATCAATATTAAAAAAAAATTTAGCTGACGAAAAAGGCGTCGTCTGGTCCTTCAAAGAAGCTATCAATCAGTACATGCGTACATTTCTTCTTAAGCAGGGATCACACAATTTTTGCATTTGCACATTTGGCATTCACAGAGTGGTATTGTCTATAAATTTTTATCGAGAATGAGATCAGCTCAATAACAACTTTCCACACAACACCGCTCTGTAACGGCGAAAATGGAAAAATCTGTACAAATGTACAATTCCTGTGATCCCGCTTTAAACGCTTGCTTAAAACTCTGTGTTAGGCACTTCCTTGAAGAAAATAAATCTTCAAATGTAATGAACAGATCTTTATGGCAGCTCACAATTAATTTATTCTACCGCGTGTCTACCAAGGATCTTTAAGCATATATTGAGGCAATCTGTAGAAATTTTTGGCGTTCAGGTTTAGGCACTCATCATTGTGCTAAAATGGGGGTTTAAAGGTCAGCAACGCCCATTGTGAACGTATAAAATATTCAAGATAAAGAACTATCAAAAAAGCCATCAAAATAAAAAAAATGTATGCGTAACTCAAAAATATAAGTAGTAAACAAAAATAAATTTGTATGTAGTAGGTATTTTTGCGTATATTAGTGGAAGGTCAGTCCCAGCACAATGCCGTAACGTCAAATTTTTATCTGTGTACAAACATATGTGTACCTACATAATATTTGTGCATGTATTTAGCCTTCTTTGTGCATTTATGCCCATCTTAAGTTCTCACATTTACATATATCTCCGCCGCATTAAAATTTCACAACAGCTGCCGCAGGACACGTCATACATAATTTCTCTGTTCTCTATTCTCCAATTTCTATATTCATACGCTTCTTTATATGCAGTATGCGCAAATTTACTATTGTTAATAATACAAAAAACAAAAAACAAAACAATAAAATATCAAAATCAGCTACTGTTAACACGTTCAGCTTTCATTTTGCTACAATGCGCTGCGCATAGCCGTTCCAACTCGTCGCGCGTTGTCATCCATCCATTCGTTAGCGATTGTTTGAGAAACGTGCCGCAGTGGATGCTTGGCTTAACATACACACACAGATGCATACACAAAAGTATACCCTGCAAAAAATTGTGCGACTAATCTCTAAAGAGAGAATTCAAGGATTAGTTTCAATCTGGTATAATTGGGCACTAATTAGCCGCAACTAGTCGCATACGGGTATATTTGAAGATCAATTAATCCCGGTTCGAATCACAGCTGGCGCAAATTTTTGTTTTTGATTCTTTAAAGAGACTATTCGCTTTTGGTATACCCGTTTGGGTTTAAAGGGGAACAATTACAGTCAGTCAATAAAGTTTAGGTACAGCGAATTTTTTACGATACGGACAAAATATTTTATTTTTAGCTAATTTTTTATAAAAACATGCTTCATTCTACAACAAAAACCTCAAAAATCTGAATAAAACTAACTAAACTAACTGACTAAAATTGAATGGGCTAAAAAACTGCATACTCAACTTTTTTTCAGAGAGCGTAAATAAAAAGTGCAATATTTGAATGAAATTTTGCGGAATTTTCTTTAATTTCTGGTGTTTTTATTCTAGAATTAACCATATTAAAAAAAAAAAAAAAATAGTGAAAAATAAAATATTTGAAAAATAGTTGCCGAAACTTTATTGACTGACTGTACGCTCTTCGTAGGACATGCTCGAACAAAATCGGATAGTTCATATTAAAAGTGGTATTAGACTCATATTTTTTTTTATTTATTTTGGATGACGTTATCTGGATTAATTGATCCTACCTGCAGATTATTGCTCTCGATTTCCCCATTTTTTGCATCTGAAAAAAGTGTGATCGGCATCGTAAGTCCTTTATTACACCTCTTTGCGTATTTAATGTAAATACCGGTTAGTTTCATGATCACTTCTAAGGGAATATGCTTCTTGGTTAGGAGTACTAGCTCGGTTTTCTCTGCTGCAAGTATTAGTCGCATGTTGCCTTGCAATTTCTCCCGGATTAGTCGCATCTTTTGCTGGGTATATCGCAAACTACATACATATATACAAATGTATGTAAGTACTCGTACTTGACTTCACACATCAGCATTATGCGTTTATAAATCTATCTGCAGCGCCATGTTTGTTTTAGTACAAATTTTTGTTTGCCACTACGAGTGTTGTATGTATACCCGCTATGCAGTGTTGTATCTAGTTAGTAGTCACACTCTTTATTATAGCCTGAAGATGAGCGCGCTTTTATCGCTCTTCACAGCGTTAATGATAAGCGGCACTACAACAAAAGCAATAGCTAGCAATTACAAACATACATATCTGCTTTAGCTATAAAGTAAACAAACCGTTAAAGTTAACGGTTGATAAATGCTACTGGTCTTTGAATAACCGAAAATTGTCTATCAAAGTTGTTTTTAAAGTGGGTACGCGTGTGCGGTTCAAGTTGGCTTTAAGCAAAGAGAATCAATGTTGTTTTTTGTTCTGTTGAATATATGTATGTATGTACATATGTACATATAGCATTTCGTATAGGATGAATTTTGTTTTTAGTACCGAGGAAATAAGGATTTATAAGTTGTGTTTATGTAACAAAGGGTAAACTCATACGAGCACGTATTGCGTATTAATTTTCAGTTGTTTCCTAAAATGTCACTCATTACAGCCTTTTTCAGATAAAATTTGTTGGATTTCTGGATTGTAAATTTGTGACAGTTTGTTTGCCAGTATTATCTTTTAAGCAGCTACTAGCAATAACAAAGTCAAAAATGGTATATGTATGTATGTATGTATGTAAATAGAATGTGGATGCTTGTGTGTGTCATGATTTTCGAAGAAAAATTACTGAAAAGTTGCGATTACTCATAATTTTGACTAAAATAACAGCAATACTATTTGCTCCATTGAGAACTATATTATTATTATTTTTATTTTGAGAACGTTAAACACTAAAATTGTTCCTACATCAGTGGTACCTTCGTATGCTAAAACACTTTCTAATAGTTTATCAACTGTCCACCATTCTGTGATCTCTCTAGCGAAAGAGCAATTTAGATCTTATTTCAGCCAGCCTGAGCCAGATGTGGCATGCCATCATTCACTCCTGTTCAATAAAGGTATTTTCTAATAAGAGACAATTTCCACATTTACAAATGCTAAGTCGCTAAAATATTGTTATAAGAAGAAAGGGAAAAAAACTTTTCTTCTATCAAAATTTCTTAAATAAATTTCTTCAATAAACCAGTCCAAACCATTAAATTAAAAATTTACTGCAAATGGAAAGCACTTTTTCAAGTAACAGAAAGAATGAAAAATATTTTTTATGATTTTTCTTGATAGCTGCAATTAGCGCTTAACGATTCATTCAAAAATTTTGGATCCCGTGGACAATTGCGGAACCGTCCTGGTGTCCTTTTCCACTCAACAATAAACACACTGAATGATAGTGAGTAAAGTTGAGATTTTTAGTTTATTTTGGCGATCGATCAACGTAGTTCAGATCAATTAAACGAACTACTTCCTTTAGTTCATTCTCGTTCACGAAACAGGAAATTTTTTTCGCAGCACAATTATACGTACGGCACATTTTTGAAGAGAAAGGCAGTCAAAACGGTGATAGTTGGTTGTTCAGAGTTGCGCACGAAGTACAAGAAGGAGCTGACCAAGGTCGTATAGCTCAAAATGGACTAGTGAATTTAAGTGTGGAGCAAATTACGGGAGGTGCTCCTTCTAAGCTGTCGATAATTCCAATCAACAACAACCAACTAACAAAATTCGTATGAAGACCCATATTGAATTAAATTTGGGGAGAAAAGTTTAGGCATTTTCCCACTGGTTTCGGGTTATTGTACCCAAATGCGTGACCCGATTGAAAAAAAATATATATTATCTTACACGTGCTGTCAGAGGATTGAAGATTAATTTAAAACAAAACTTTCAAATTTCCGAGCACTAATAGATATAAAAAGTTTGAAATATGAACTTTTTTGTAAAATGGATGGGGTTTTATGTGCCCCTCTGTCCAACCCGAAAACAGCAGGCAATGACTAAATATTTCCCAATTTGGCTATAGAAGCAGGGTTAAAAAAATAGTTCATTTTAAACGTCGAACAAGGTCGTTCATCTTTTTCAATGAACGAACTAGTTCGTGAACTACTCAACACTTATAATGGGTTTTCTGAAAATTAATACTGAAGGATAAATATGTGAAGAACATCGTAATTGTAGGGATTCGATGCCCCTTCTAACGTCTCCAGTAGATAAAAAGTGAGCGATCCAAAAGCAAGGACCAAGTCGGAGATGAAATTACTCCCAGTAAAAAACAATCCGATTTCGCAATAAAGTTAGAGCGAAAAAATACAGCACAGAGGTTCGCAGCGTCTACTAAGTTAGATTTGCCACAGCACTCTGATGCTTACTGAATTTCGATTTTTTATTCGTTTTTTTTTTCTCGGTCCATTTGAATTTAAATAAGCAGTGGACGCTGTGGCAGGCCAGGGCTGCAGAATTAAGTTAGTATATAAGTAGAAGCAAGGTTCTGTAAGTATTAAGTGTAATTAAAACTCTGTAATACTAACTTGTGTAAAATAGATCGAAAATATATAAAAATACTAAGCACAAGCTTTGTATGACGTCTGCATTGTTATCTTGTTACCGTCACTCAAAATCTTGCATAACCATTTACAAACATACTTGTACATACATATATGTATACATGTGTGCATGGTATGTACCAATATGTTATAATGCAAAGAAAAGTGCGCGTATGTAGTAAAATTCATTTTTGGATAAATACTTTTAATAGCAATGACGCACAAGGCACCACTTCTATTTACTCTGTGTACCTAATTTTCTTAATTATATGCGAGACGCTTTAATTTTATCTTTTATCTTGAGGTGTGTTACTTAAAGCAAATTGTTTTTTTTTTTCTTTTAAATTTAGGTGTTCCCTTTGGTTTAAATATTTTTGTTTGCGTAGTGAACAGATGATGCAAGTTGGTTGTAAACCTTCTTAAATGCAAAAAAAAAGAAAATAAAAGATATCCTTTGACGTCAAACCATTCGACATCTTTCAATATTCAAATGTATGCCGATTTGTTTACCGGGCTGTGTAACTTTCCCAAAATCAATTGTGACGCAAATGCCGAGATACTTCTGCAATTACATTGAGCTGCATTTATGTACATATGTACATGCATGCATACGTATTTTTAGTACGTAAAAGAATTCTTTTGCCTGCAGATGCTCAATTAAAGTTCAGCTTAGTACGCGATTTTAATTTTTAATACAGTTCTTGCATTTACGTCATACTCTCATAATTTGCATTTTAAGAATGCATACACAGTTGCTTTAATTCCATTTAATCAACACCCATAAATATCTACAAATTTATGCAAAGTTTTTAAGTACCTGTTTTTTTTTTTTGGAGGGAAAGGTTATTGTAACTGCACACTGTATTTCGGGTGCTTATTTATGAACACGTGTCTAAGGTATTTATTTTTAATCGCAGAATAATTTCATTAGTCACTCATATTGGATCATTAAACAGAAGCAGTGATATTGAACATTTTTTGCTTCATTTCAGATCTTTGGCGCTATCTGTTAAATAACTTGCTCCCCTACATGAACCTGAGTATACCAAACTGATAAAAAAGCTAAGTCCCAAATGCTAGAGTAAGTTTCACTGAAGCCCAAAACTCCCCTTTTTTCGATAAGGCCTTTCTTCAGAGACATACTTTGGAATGCCGAAGCTGCAGGTTCAATTCCCAGTGAAATCTATGAAACAGTCTTATGAGAAGATGTAGTGATCTCCGAAATAGCAACTATAACTTCTACCATATGTAGGTAAATTATTGTTGTTTTACCGCAACATTTGTTCATTAGAAACGGCCTCAAGGTCAATAAAATTGTTGAACATAATTGTTATAAACCCATGAATAACAACAAAAACAAAACTGTTGCCTTGGCCAGCCATGATATATATACATATATATATATATATATATGCAAAAACTGCGCGAGTATGGGTGCATTCCAAAACGTCTAAATACAAAACTCTCTTTCTCAGCCCTTTAATTAAAATCTTATAAGCCTGTACTTCGGCAGCTGCTTTTTCTCCATCTGGCTTCTTCAAAACACATTCATCGACCTCTTTTACTCGATTTCTCGTTCCCCACTCTTTCATCTTAATATTTTTAATTAAAAAGATGTCATTGACATTAGCAATGAGCAAACAAAAAAAAAAAAAAAGCGAAAAGCAAAAAAAGCGTCGCACATAAAAGCTAATCACACATCAATAACGGTTGGTTTGCTAAGAAGCTACTGTATAAGTACTTAGTATCCAGAGTGAGAGCTTAAGTAAATTCTGGTCATGAATCAAATAGGTACCTAGCTATATAAGTAGATAAATAAATAGTATTCGTGTTAGATAATTTTGGAAGAAGTCAAACAAACAAAATACAAAGGCTAAATAGCGATGAATGGATTTTGAAATCATGCGTTTGATGGAGCGTGGAGGGCTTCTGATTTATGTAAGCGCCTGCGCAATTTTTTTTCTTTAAATTGGTTAGCGTTACTTGCGTACTCTAAAAATTAGCAAAATTAGTTTTCACGCATTACATGTGTATGTATGTAAGTATGTGTGTATGCTTTAGTTTACACATAGAAACTCCACATTTATTGTTTGCACATTTAGCGTGCTATCGTATGACCGCAGTAATTGAAATCGTGATTCATAATTAAAGTAAAAAAAAAAAACTAATTATTTAATGTAGAATATTTATTATATTCATACTTTTCATATATTTTCAATATACGATTTATATAACAGATAGTACATAGACATATGCCTGTGGGAAAAATATGCGCCATGTGGCAGTGGCTAGTATATACATATGTACATATGTAGTACTTGCAGAAAGTGATACAATTCATTAGCTACCGTATAAAAAAGTTACCAAACGTTGGTGTTCTGATGAGTAAAAAAAAAGGAAATATAGGTATGGAATGGTGAACCACACGTCCTATAGCACCGCAACCAGATATTCCAGGAATCTAAGTTGGGCCTGAACTGCGTTACAAGATGGAATGAGCTTGAACTTGTGGGCTGCCAGGACACTAAGGTGTTCAAGGTAACGAACTGGCTGATGAATTGGCGAGCTGCGTTGAGAGCTGTTGGTTCACTATTAACACCTAAAAATTAATAACTAA